CACATCTCTCTTTATTAAATACACACCACATAAGCAAATTTATCTTGAAATGCGCTATGTTACAGCTAAGTTACTCCCACTATGATCGTCCTTTGAATCTTTCCAAAATAAAATATATACCTTAATAGAGACGACATGCTTGATATACCCAAGGTACGGTAGATGGAAATTATATACCAAAGAAATATACATCCCAAAAATGATATACCCAAGGTACGATAAAGAGAAATGATATACTAAGAAATATTTCTCCCCAAAATTATATGCGCCAAGATTATAATTAAAGTGTGACATACTCCAAAATTACATAGCCAAAATCGATATACCCAAGAAATATTTGTGAGTATGGAACGTTCGTTCCACTTCATATGTAGGTTCGCATCCAGGACATTATACGTGCATATATGATACCTTCGAACGTTATATTCTACATTGGGTCAAGTTTCCATATGGTGCATATTAAGTTCGAAGGTATCATATATGCACATATAATGTCCTGGGTGCGAACATTGTATAACGTCCATATGGAGAGAGAGAGAGAGAGAAATCAGCAATAAATGCCTCTTGATTTATATTCTGCATTGGGTCAAGTTTTCATATGGACGTTATATTCTATCCCGACACAAAAATGGACATTGTATGTTAGTTATTGTATAGGCATTTTTTGTATGATATATTTATCGTAGGTATCACATACTCTCCACTATGTATAAAAAACTGATGGAGATACATGAATAGGTTGGGCTCGATGAAAAAAACATTACCCACATACGTATGGTCTCATACTGTGGGTACATGATACCTTATAATTTTCTTAAAAGTCTCAAACATCTGTGGGTATATGATACCTTCTTTACATTGAGTGCAAGTTTCCATATGGACATTATATTCTATCCCTACAAAAAATGGACGTTATATCCTAATTACTAGATAGCTATGTTTTTGTATGATATATGTATCGTACGTATCACATACTCTCCACTATGTATAAAGAACTGATGTGTATATCATTTTTTTTATTCTGTGTGTTGTTTAGTAATTTCTAGGCATGTCAATAGTTTTGCTAGTTTGTTGGTTATGTCAATCTTTATATATTTTAAATATGGCAACTGTTTATTCTTTTGCGGTATATTATTGCTAGGTATGTCACATATAATGGGTACATATTTTCTGGAATATGGTCCATGGGTATGTCACACTTATTAACTCTTATAATGTAAAATGCATTGGATATGACATACCCACAATATTTAAAAATATTTTTGGGGTTCGATTCCTTGGAGTGCTTTTCTAAAGTGAAAAAGAACACATTGCATTTTTGTACCATAGTTTTCTAATAGCTATCAGGTAATAAAAGCGGGAAAATGTTTCAGCCACAATACAACTGTGGGTAAGTGAAATTTATGAATATGCTTGAGATATTTGGTCTAATATGTGAGCTATGAATTATTCTCCTTGAACACATTACTACCATTTGTTTAAATTAGATTATACTGGAAAAAATACGTCCCATATACCTCCTATTAATACACGCATGAAAAAATATCTCCATATACCTAAGAACATGAATGTATACAAATCAAGAGGCATTTATTGCTGATTTCTCTCTCTCTCTCTCCTATTTCTATTAGTGACTCCAAATATGCAACATTGCCATGCAGGTTATTCTCTTTCCTTTTTTTCTACTACAGAATTGTTCCCATGCATGATGCGCATGAGCCTTATTTATGGTATTCAATTAGCGACTAATGCATTAATACACTACACATACCCATTGCAATAGCACACATCTAAATGCAACCGAGTGGTGGAAAGGCAAGGAGCCTGGGCACCCAGGTGTCCCATACCCATTGCAATAGCACACATCTAAATGCAACCGAGTGGTGAAAAGGCAAGGAGCCTGGGCACCCAGGTGTCCCAAACGGCCGTCCTAACGGCCTGTCCTATATATATATAGTGCGATGAGTGAAGAGAAACCACAAGGGTATTAGTCCGCAGTCGTCATATGCAACCCGTGTCAACTTCGTTCTCTGAAGATTAAATGGATTCTTAACAACGATGTGTAGCATCTAATGTTCTTGTATGAAATAGATTGTTGTAAATGGTGAATTGTGTCAACTTCGTTCTCAGAAGATTAAACAACGATGTGTAGCATCTAATGTTCCTGCATGAAATAGATTGTTGTAAATGGTGAATTGTTTCTAGGACAGATTCTTGCTCATGTAATCGAATATTCGTAAATCTGGGAGCAACATCAAACCTGTCCTGTTATTCAGAACCACCGTCTGTTGTCCCATTTGAAGCGCAAAGAGTGAATTTTTCTATCATGCACTATATCAGAGTATTCTGTTCATGAGGACAGTGGAACAAACCAGCATTCAAAACTGGAGTTAGGAGGATAAAAACAAATATACAAAAATAGAAGAATGAACTTCCTTTGTGTTGTAATGTCTACAAATACTATCAATGGTTTGTAATCAGTGTACATGAGAATACAGAGTACAGCATCACACGATCCTACTCTGGAGCTGGTAAATAATAGAGTTGGCAACCAGCGAAGGGAAATTCCTTGGGGAAAAAAAAGTTTCAGGAAAGGTGGACGAAGAAAAGACACTCTCATCATCAATCAAGAAAAGAGAAAGGTGGAGAGACTGACGATCAGAGAAAAGATAAAAAGGAAGAAATAAATAATTTACATGTTGCTATTCTAATATCTATTGTCCAGCTAACTTTGTGACTTCTGATTGGTCCTCCAGGTTCGCTACCTCGGATGAGCCTTCTAGTTTCTTCAAACCATCTTCACAGCAGTTGCTAATATCAAAGTTAGTCACAGATAACTTGGTGACTTCTGATTGGTCCTCCAGGTTCACTATCTGGGATGCGCCATCTAGTTTCTTCAAACCATCTTCACAGCAGTTGCTAATATCAAAGTTGGTCACAGATAACTTGGTGACTTCTGATTGGTCCTCCAGGTTCACTATCTGGGATGCGCCATCTAGTTTCTTCAAACCATCTTCGCAGTGTTGGCTAATATCCAAGTTGGTCACAGCTAACTTAGTGACTTCTGATTGGTCCTCCAGGTTCACTACCTCGGATGAGCCTTCTAGTTTCTTCAAACCTTCTTCGGAGTAGTTGCTGATATCAAAGTTGGTCACAGCATGAACACCACGGAGCTGAATTGCTGCTAGGTCATACGCTTCAGCTGCCTCCACTTCAGTTTCT